CTGAGGTCAGATTTATGCAAAGTAGCATAAAGCAAGAACATATGTGTTTATCCCCACAACCACCCACAGGCAGCTTGACAGATTCAGATGCACATCCCAGACTGTGGTAGTTTCAATGTGGTAGACGAATCGTAAATCTGCTCCTAGGAAGCAGTGCATCTTCCCAAATAGATATCCCAGATGAGAAAGGAAACGTCTCCTCCAATAACATCTTAGACTCTAAGGTTGGGCTTAGTAGAAGGAAATGTTTCCCCAGAACAGAAGCCAGACGTCCATGTCAATCTCATTAACTTTAGCACAGAGTGTGGTTTGAGTAGTGCAGGTGGTCTCATTCATGACCACTTATAACCCCAATCCAGTAGCCGCTCTTGTTCCTCCATGTGGGTTTCATCTGTTCAATGAGGGCATAAGAAAATACCTGTGTTTTAGTCTAGCACTATATAAAAGGGTGAGAGGCGTTATAGTCCTGAACTTGAAAAAGTTTCTTTTTTGGACTACAACTCCCACCCAACGTGACCAAGAATCAAGGATTTGTAATCCAAAACCTTTTCCAATCTCTGGTCATGAAGCTTCAGTATCACAGGGACAGATCAATATCAAATTGACCTATGTCAAGGGACACCCTCAAAAACACCCATGTATTAAAGTCAACTTGGCTATCAGAAGAGGCAACAAGGCATACTTGGCTCTGTCCTTTAGCATCTTCATGTGGTCCCAGCCTCATCACCCACCACCCAAAGCAACCATCTCATTCTGTGAAATGATAGGGCCAATCCCATGAATGCACAAACCCATCACCATCTGTTCCCTGGCAAACTTGATTATGTTCATGTCAGAATAAATAACAAAAAGAATCAATCTCCAGACAGCTATAAGGCCTGAATTCCCCTCCCATCCAACTAAATATGTGCACATAACATACTGTGACCTGTGGCAATAATTTTACTGGGGTAGGAGGCAATTGTAGATCCATTACCTCATGGATGGAAAATCCACTCTTGAGGTGTACACTGTAGAATGAATACAGTTTGACACTGCTTTAACTGCCATGGCTCAATCCTATGGAATCATGGGAGTTGTTGTTCAATATCTTTAGCCTTATTTGCCGAAGAGTGCTGATGCCTCACCAAACTACAAATCCCAAAATTCCATAGGACAGAGCCACTGCAGTTAAAGTGGTGTTAAACTGAATTAATTATACAGTGTATCTGCATCCTTGGATTCACAGCTGCTCCTCTTATAGCCATTCTAATGAGCCATCCAGATGTGCAACTATTTTCCTGGCAAAAGGTCAGCCTTAAGCAAATTCCCATAGAACCTGGAGCAGATGCAATAATATACTATAAGCTGTAAGACTGAAAGTAGATTCGGAGAAAATCTCAGCAGCTTCCTCTGTGCAGGGATGTACCACCAGGCTATTGTGGGATGGAAATGCTGAGAGATAGGAGAAACCTTGCAGTCTTCTGACAGACATCAAAACAAAGAGATGAAGATTCTCTTGATCAGGCAAATGAAGGGGAGGGAGTTGTTTAGTATATAATCTATGAACCAGCATGCTTTCAGTTCAAATCTGACCTCATACCAATGCCTCACCATACAATATTAGACAAGGCACTCTCCTTTCAGTTCTAGTTTCCCAAAATATTGTCGAAGGCTTCCATGGCTGGAATCACTGGGTTGTTGTAGGTTTTTCAGGCTATATGGCCAAATTCTAGAAGCATTATCTCCTGACGTTTCGCCTGCATCTATGGCAGGCATCCTCAGAGGTTGTGAGGTCTGTTGGAAACTAGGAAATGTGGGTTTAAATATCTGTGGAATGTCCAGGGTGGGAGAGGGAACTCTTGTCTGTTCCACAGATATATAAACCCACATTTCCTAGTTTCCAACAGACCTCACAACCTCTGAGGATGCCTGCCAAAGATGCAAGTGAAACATCAGAAGAGAATGCTTCTAGAACATAGCCATATTTCCCAAAATACTTTGGCCTTTCGTTGTCTAAGACTTGAAATAATGTATGGCAGCATTGTCCAATCTAGTGCTCTCCAGACTAAAAACCCCATCATCCCTGACTATGAACCATCCTAGCTGAACCTGATGAGAGTTGCAATCCAACCCACCTGGAGGATCTGAAGTTATAGTAGGTTGATGCTTATGTGTCAGGTTTTACAATGTATTGTAATGTAATATAGCTGAGTCATGCACTGCTAATAGGCTTCTATTGGAAATGCTGAGTCATGCATTAACTGTATATAGGGAGTCATTTGGGGAATGTGTTCTGGCCTAGTCCAGGTGATTGTGAATGATGTAATCCTGGGTCTGAGCTAATCAGAGATTGCTATGTGTAATTGTATAGAATTGTATATAAGGAAGTCATGTAGAGTGTATACTTTCTCCTTGTGCTGTGATGCTGTTCGTCGAAGGCTCTATGTAATTGATTAAAAGAACCTGTCTGCTAAGACAAGATATAACTGTATGCTGTGGTAAGTTTGTAATGTCATCTAGACTGGGGGAAAACAATAGTAAAACTGACAATGGCCGGGCATGTGCACAAGTGTCTGTAAAAGAGTTCCAGAGTTACTGCAGTTTGTGGGAGCAGTTGACTGAAAATACTATGCAGGAAGAAGCTACTGGAAAGCGCTGAAGTTGTGCAACTGATCTGGTGCTGAATTGTGAAATTAATCTCAACATTATGATATGCTTCTGAAACATCAAATATGCTGTTTCTGTGATGCGTATTTATTTTGTTGTTAAATATATTTGCTACCTCTACTCTTAAAATTAGTGCCCTGGGCAGACAGCAATAACATACATATAAAACAACATTATAATTGAAGCTTTAAACCACCTCCCAATAAAAATATCAAAAATATGAACACAAACAGATTTTTTTAAAAAAAGAACTGTCTTGGATTGCAGAAAAGATTAAAGGTGTGAATCTGGGACATAGCAAGGTTTGTGTATAAGGCAACATAATAGAAAGCATAGGAAACCTAACCCCTGGAGTGCTAACTTTAGTGCTAGTAAATCCCAAAATGTAAAGGAAGCTGGCACAGGAAAAAAAGGACAAGATACTGGGGTTATGTTCAGGCACTCTGTCCTGATTATTATGTTTCAGATGCAACCGTCAGCCTTGGTTTGGTATTTTGGGAACTGACTCATCTGAAAGTTGGTTTTTGTCTCTCTGGGCTCTTTGCTGAGTTCTCTTTATTGATTTCCCCCTATCCGGAGTCAGCTTTCAACTGAAATCCCCCTGTGGCTGCTGCCATCTTTCATTCTTTGTGTGTGCGTGTGTGGAGCATACGTTTCTGCCAGCGTAGCTGCGTATAGAAGAAATAATTATAGAAAAATGGATTGCAGGATATATCACACACAAGATCCAGATAAATTGCCACAGACCTGCATAAACAGTCCATTGGATCCAAAGCGTTGATATGAGCTTGCAATTCGAAAGTTTGCAGTTTTCCTTAAAATAAAAGCAGAATTGCTTCTCCTTCCTTTTTCCTCTGCCCTGCCAAATGCCAATACAGCAACTCTTCCAAGGTCAGATTATCAGCTTGGTATTCGATACCCAGTATCTCTGCTGCCATTCTCTGCTGAGGTTAAGTAGCAGCCATTGATTTTGCATGGGAAGGTTATTTTTAGTTATTTTCAACCAGTGTTGCAAGGAGTGGAACAGACCTGAGATTTCCCCAAGCAAGCCAGCTTTTCTCATTTCTAAATCACCATGCTTCTGAAGGCTTGGGGACCACAGTCTGTTTCAGCCAGGCACACTGGTATTATCACTAGAGCTTGGAAAAGTAACTTTTGAGGCTATAACTCCCAGGATCCTTCAGCCAGTATGGTGGACACTTCCCTCCATGGATGGGGCCAAAGATAAGTCAAGTAATGTGGGGTGTTGGGTAATGGGTTCCCCAAACCCCCTGCCAGACCCCCATGGATTTGCCATGATTCGTGGCGAAACCATAGCTTCTTGTGATAAGGTCCTTAGTCATGATTTTAGTTAATTTTGGGATTAGAATATGCCATTTTACTTTTTGCCAGAAAGTGTGGCAATGACCTGTTGGAAGAGATTTGACAGCTAAATCAGCTGTCGGAATTTGAAGGCACAACTGAAGATCTATCTCCTCCAGCAGGCCTACCCAGCCAATTTTAATTATGACATTAAAACTCATGTCTTGCATCCACTATCTTTTGATCATTGTTTAGTAATATGTATTTTGTAGAAATATATTTTAATATGTGCATTTATATAATGCTTATGTGTTTTAATTATAAGGTAACCCTCCTCAAGCCACGAGAAGAGGCATGTAATAAAATCATCATCATCATTTTTATTTGTGAGGGGAAATCTGCCAGCCAACCTGGAAGGGACAAAACTTCATTGGAAGATCTTTCCCTAGCCCTAAATGATCACTTTATGCACCCCTAAAAGGAAACAGGAAATGTACTGATTTTTAAAAAAGGCAAAAGTGGATGTCAGTTTGGATATGTGATTCATATGGAAAGAGGGAGACACACACTGGAGGACTTCCAAAAGGAATAGGTTTTTTTTTTTATCCACAATTTTCCCACTTTTAATACCATCAGATGAGGAGGGCCTAGTGTAACGTGTTTCTTTTTCTTGTACACTGCCTTCAGCTTTACTTTTGATCTGTCCAAAGTCATTTAGGGTTAATTTGGTTATTGTGAAATAAGTCTATTCATAAATAGTGTTTAAAAATCAAAACTTTTCCAAGTTTCAAAGTGTTTCACTTGTGATGTAGCTAAGGGACTGCCTTTTGATTGATTTTTTCTATGCATGTAAACAAAAAAAAACCCATACACAAACACAAATAAGTTGAAATTAAGTTTCAAAGATACTGTTACCTCTAGAAAAGCAGTTCTTATCTTGTGCCTAATCTAAACCAACAGTGCATGTTTTGACATTTTGATTGCAAATGAAGGGATGCTGTACATGTCATAGCATATGGAAACAGGTGATTTCCTTGTGTATTACTTACTGTCCAAACATGGTTCACAGACAGTTTGGTTTAACCCACACGGCTGGGCAACCCCTTCCCCGATATTACAAGTTCTGCAGCATTCTCCGCTCGCGGTATACTTCCCGGTATCGCATTTCTCCTTGGCCCATGCAGACCTCTGTGGAAAAAGGACAACAGAAGGTAAGAGATTACAGATTCTCCACCATTATATACAAGGTCACATAGGGCAGCATCCTATTGTTGACTTAGTCAAGCATAACAAGAAGTTACACACTTACATAAGTATTTTCTTGGACTTGCAGAAGGTATTCAGTATCCCAAAAAGACCTCCACTAACAGAAGAGAGTTAGTCCAAGATAGAATCATAGAATCAAAGAGTTGGAAGAGACCTCATGGGCCATCCTGTCCAACCCCCTGCCAAGAAGCAGGAATATTGCATTTAAATCATCCCTGACAGATGGCCATCCAGCCTCTGTTTAAAAGTTTCCAAAGAAGGAGCCTCCACCACACTCCGGGGCAGAGAGTTCCACTGCTGAATGGCTCTCACAGTCAGGAAGTTCCTCCTCATGTTCAGATGGAATCTCCTCTCTTGTAGTTTGAAGCCATTGTTCCGCATCCTAGTCTCCAGGGAAGCAGAAAGCAAGCTTGCTCCCTCCTCCCTGTGGCTTCCTCTCACATATTTATACATGGCTATCATATCTCCTCTCAGCCTTCTCTTCTTCAGACTAAACATGCCCAGCTCCTTAAGCACCTCCTCATAGGGCTTGTTCTCCAGACCCTTAATTATTTCAGTCGCCCTCCTCTGGACACATTCCAGCTTGTCAATTTCTCTCTTCAATTGTGGTGCCCAGAATTGGACACAATATTCCAGGTGTGGTCTAACCAAAGCAGAATAGAGGGGTAGCATTACTTCCCTAGATCTAGACACTATGCTCCTATTGATGCAGGCCAAATCCCATTGGCTTTTTTTGCCGCCACATCACATTGTTGGCTCATGTTTAACTTGTTGTCCACAAGGACTCCAAGATGTCTGAAGGGGCATAAAAAATAGACCCAAGGGCCACAATTTTGTCCACCCATGCTATAAAGGACCTGAGCTCTCCTTCAGATGTTAGACTATCATTGATGAATGTTGGTCTTGTTGGCTGGGGTTAAGGAGAGTTAGAGGTTCAAAATGTCAAGAGAACTACAGGTTGGACAGATTCGTAGCTCTGGCTAAAATGGGTAAAAATATCTCTAGCTACGACCAAGGATGAGATGAATGGATAGTATCCTTGAAGTAACTGGCTTGACCTTGAAAGAGCTGGAAGTGGTGACTGTCGACAGGGAGCTCTAGTGTGAGCTGGTCCATGAGGTCATGACAAGTTGGAAGCGACTGAAGAAATAAACATCAACAAAACAAAATATTCACGCTGAAATATCTGCTGGACTGAAAATGAGGGAGATTCACAGGTCTAAATGTCATTGCTATTCCCAATGAGAGTAGGTTCATTGAATTAATGAGATTTATAGAAATATTGATTTGCCATTCACCAATTGTTTCTACGGATGTATTCTAGTTGGAAATAGCAATTGGATTTAGGTCATTATTTTCTACTTTTCCTTAATGACCATGACAAATTTAGCATCTGTATGTCTGATAGTGCTTGATGAACAAATGCAGGGTGGAAATTAATCTGCAACAGATAAGCCCATGTCTGATCCTCTTTCCAAGTACTTGGCATAACAATTACCTAACAGAGGGGAGTCTCCTTATGATCCTGAAATCTCTAGGTTTCATTGAATTCAGATGCTAAACAGGGTCAGATCTGGTTTGTACTTGAATGGAAGGGTGCCAAAAGAATACCAGGCCTCTTTAGGTAATGCTATGAAAGAGCTCCCAGTGGTGCAGTGGGTTAAACCGCCGAGCTGCTGAGCTTGTTGACCGAAAGGTCGCAGTTTCAAATCCGGGGCAGCATGAGCTTCTGCCAACCTAGTAGTTTGAAAACATGCAAATGTGAGTAGATCAATAGATACCACTTCGGTGGGAAGGTAACGACGCTCCATGCAGTCATGCCGGCCGCATGACCTTGGAGGTGTCTATGGACAACACCGGCTCTTCCGCTTAGAAATGGAGAGGAGCATCAACCCCAAGTTTGGACTTAATGTCAGGGCAATACCTTTACTTTTACCTTATGAAAGAATGGTACTTAAAACACTGGAGAGCCACTGCCAGTCAGAGCAGACTGCACAATGGAGTTACTCATTTTTTATTTTTGTGTGTTCTTCTTTATTGTGTTTTAAGCTAGTAAGTATTTCCTGTCTAGAAAAAGAGCAGCTCATATCATGAAACTGTAGAGAGAGAAAATTATCAGATGTCTCTAAAGGCAAATTGAGAGGGACTAAATAAGGTAACGACTTTCAGTGTGTGTCTACACTGTAGAATTAATGCATTTTGACACCACTTTAGCTGTCTTGCTTTGGAATCCTGGGAATTGTAGCTTGTTGAGACACCAGCACTCTTGAGCAGGGAAAGGTAAAGATCTTGCAAAACTACAGCTACCATAATTCCCCAGCATTGAGCTATGGCAGTGAATGTGGTGTCAAACTGCATCAATTCAACTATGTAGATGCGCCCTCAGTGCAGAAACCAACCCGGTGTGAAATCTGGCAGAGAATCAAGATAGAGATGCAACTGTGAAATATGTGGTTTAGGCACATGGGAGTTTTTAATTACCTTGGAAATGTATTTATTTCAGCACTCTGAAAGTTATCTTGTAACACATCAGTTTGTCCCTGCCTGCACAGTTAAGGGATTTCTTGCAATAAATCGAAGTTCCAGTCGCAGCTGGAAAGCATGAATTTGGTGAGTATTTCAAATGAAGTGTGGAATTAGCTAGTTCTTTGCCATATGTCGAAACTGACAGGCAATTGACTTCTCAAACTGTGGTATATTTTCTCCTGAAATCTTATCTCTATTAGTGAACTGAGTGGAACCCAGCGAAAATTATTTGAAAAAATTCTTCCCTTTGTTTTACTAAGTCCAGAATTTACATACACCTTTAATGATTTCCCTTCAACATTTGGTGTTATGGATTCGATGGCAGGTTCATATGTTAGGTGATTATAGGATTAAACTCAAAGGGGTTTTCACTAAAATATGACAGCTTTCCCTCCAATGGAAGCTCTTGCAGATCCAATGTGAGGTCATGACTTCAACAAGATTTCGCTGTTTTCCATAGCAGTTCCCATATCAGTTAGGTGGTGAATCCAGTCTGGGTTTTAGTCTGAACTTTAAAAGAGCTATCAAAAGTGCTGAACTAATTTTGAGGATGAGGTTTAGAACTTTGGGATAGTTCTTTTAAAATATGGATTAATATCAGGAATGGGTTGTTGTAGGTTTTTTGGGCTGTATGGCCATGTTTTAGAAGCATTCTCTTCTGGCATTTTGCCTGCATCTATGGCAGGCATCTTCAGAGGTTGTGAGGTCTGTTGGAAACTAGGAAAATTGGGTTTATATATATATGTGGAAAGTCCAGGGTAGGATAAAGAACTCTTGTCTGTTGGAGCTAGGTGTGAATGTTTCAATGGCCACCTTGATTAGCATTTGATGACCTGACAGTTTTTAGGTTTGGCTTGTTACTGCCTGGGAAAATAAATAAATAAATAAATAAATAATAAACGTTATTTGTACCCTGCCACCATCTCCCCGATGGGGACTCGGAACGGCTTACATGAGACCAAGCCCAAACAACAATTACATAAAATAAAACCGAAAACGCAAATAATAAACACTAACAACGTAATTACATAAAACAAATGAAAACATAGCTATATAAAATTACAATAAGCACAATCACAATGAGAATGGGCAAGGTACATGTAATGGACAAAAGAAAAGCTGATTAAAAACTCAAGCGAGAGGTGATTAGCTGTCCCTGATTGTTTCTTGTCTGGAGTTCCCTGTGTTTGAGAGAAACATTCATACTTCGCTCCATCAGACAAGAGTTTTTTCTTCCACTCTGGACTTTCCACAAATATATAATCCCAATTTTCCTAGTTTCCAACACATGTCACAACCTCTGAGGATGCCTGCCATAGATGTGGGTGAAACGTCAGGAGAGAATGCTTCTAGAACATGGCCATACAGCCCAAAAAAACTACAAAAATCTAGTGATTTTGGCCATGAAAGCTTTCAACAATATCAGGAATGATTTCTCAATCGGCAGGTGGCGCAATGGGTTAAAGCCTTGTGCCAGCAGGACTGAGGACTGACAGGTTGGAGGTTCGAATCTTGGGAGAGCACAGATGAGCTCCCTATGTCAGCTCCAGCTCCCCATGCGGGGGCATGAGAGAAGCCTCCCACAAGGATGATAAAACATCAAAACATCCTAGGCAACATCCTTGCAGATGGCCAGTTTTCTCACACCAGAAATAACCTGCAGTTTCTCAAGTCACTCCTGACCAAAAAACAAAACAAAACACCTGCTTGATTAACTGGGTTAAAATTTTAGAAAGTATTCAAGAACCTTTATTAAAATCAAAAGTTAAATTGAAACATTTGCAAAATGTCAAATCCTGATGCCCGAGATGTTGCTAAAATCTGTGAAACTAAAATAATTCCAACTCTCCTTGGCAGGCCTGAACTTGCTCAAGCCAGTTTACAACCAAATACACCAAAATAAGCTTTGCAAGAGGTTGGCCTCAATAAATCATCTCTCAAACAGTTTCCTTGGCTTTAAAACTAGATGATGCTACTAATAGTCTTACTGCATGTGGGAGAAAATTGCATTCTCACAATTTATTCCATAATATGAGGGAGGACATGAACTTCGCAAGAATCCAGGGACTCAATAATTGGAAATATATATAGTACTCTCAAAAGGCTTTATAATAATCTGCTGCTGGGTGGATTTTAGATGTATTTTCTCTCTCTTGTAAATAGAAGTTAGTTTACAAATAAATATTATTCCCTCTTGGAAGGCAGGGAAATATATCCCAAGAGTTTTATAGGGCCTGTAAACCTCTAGGATAGAAAAGAGGTAAATTCTACTGATGAACAAAATTAATCCTGCCAGTGCTTTCCAACCTAGTTGTGTATTTCATAAAAATAAAGTTGCCTACCTCCTGTATAGCAATGAAGGGCTTGTTGATCTATAATAAGAGTGTATCTTCTCC